AAAAAAAACACCTCAGGAAAGCAAATGAGACATTTGGAATAGTAAAATGGCCCAGGTTTTGGCTGAAAAGAGAGTTTGTGGCTGCCAGGGTAGTGTGAGAGGAGTAAGTGAAAGCCTAATCAGGCTCTTTACCATCCTCCAGATGCCTCCCCAGSTTGTTGGGTGCATTAGCTATAAAACAAGAAGAAACCAGCTCCTCTGGGAGGTGATAAGAGCCAATGAAACAGTAAATCATTAAGCAGACACAGCGTGGGGCACCATAATAAAYGGGGCAAAGAGCATTAATGACCAGCCAACAGGGATCTGGGGGTGCTGCTGAACATGCAGGCTGGGTGATGAGGGAAGGGACAAAGTCCCRCTCAGCAGGGATGCCCTGAGATGGTGGCTGTGGCCATCAATACCAGCCCCCACTGGACCTTCAGCTTGTTCTTTTCCCTGCTGATTGTAGGCATGTCTCACTTCTTTTGGAGCTATGGGGATAAACAAGAGCTGTTTGCCCCAGGGCACAAACATAACTGTGGTTGGTTTTTTCCCCCGTGCTTACCCATTGCATGTTTTCAGAGGAGGAAGAGAAGCAGGACAAATAGTTTTGCTGGTCACATGTCCCAGCTGAGCCATGTGCTCCCTGCTCTCAGGCAGGAATGGAGATCAGCAGCCCCAAAAGAGCCCCCATTATGCCCTGAGCTCAGCCCAGATCAGGTAAAYGCTGGCTGTGTATACCCCATTTGGGTGATATTTTAATTGTGGTTGATCAGTGTATCCTTCAGGTCATCCTGGTTTGACTGCATTAATCTCAGTTGGGAAACTGTCAGGCTCCACTTTGTATCAGCCTTTAACATGTAACTGCAAGAGCTACATCAGTTATAGATTTGACTRTATATTGCAGTGGTCATGTTATAATTATAGCATTAGTATGGCATGGTATGGCTGCAATCCTTATTGCTATTATATTCTGGGATGGGTATTCTGCTTCCAGTTATTACCCTGGTATTTTACCATTTCTCCTTGTACCCAATCTGAATCTCCCCTCTTTCAGTTTAAAGCYATTACCCCCATTTCATGTATATGRTGAGATTCTCTACTYACTTAGAAAATAAGGATTTTTCAGCCCTCTCCACAGCTCAGGAATGCTGCTCCCTTGATCACAGGGAAACAGGTGGATGTTCCTATTCTGCAATTCCCTTTCAAAGCACTGCAGAGATGATTGTATTAACCCACTGGACTGTGCCAGCACTGCTGSTAAACAGCACCTTGCTTTGATTTTCTGTTTAATTACCCAATGCACACACTGTCAAGAAATCTTTCCTTTTAAGTCATGAAATAAGGCAGAACCTTGCAGTGCTAAATGACCTGCAAAGCTGCCAGTCCCCACCATACCCTTTCCATGCACAGCTTTTCCACTCTTGGATTAAATCCCCCCTAAATTCACCTTCATGAATCCACTGAGGTGGCTCAGAGGTGCTTGGTGAAGGCAGGATGGGGACCAGGCTGGTGGCACTGCAGGGACATTGGCCCCATATGTGGTTGTATGTACTGGGGTGATGTTTGCACATGGAGCCAATGTTTGCTCAGCTCGAGCTGTTGGATTCGCTGTTTGGTTAAAGCAGTTCAGATCAGGAAGGYTGGTTGCAGGGATTTAGGAGATTGGCTCTAACCCAGTGATTTCCCTGCTCAGGGACAGACTCCTCTAGGAGATGGTATCTTCACCAGCCACAGACTTCAAGGGATCAAGCAAAGTGTCCCTGGGACAAACCAACCTGAAATCAGATTCTAATAAAGCCAAAGRAACACCTCCCTCTCTCCAAGGCTCACAGCAACAACTCATGTTTAACCCCACACACAATATCTCTTGTGCAACAGCAGAATGAGAACATTTTTGGTTTATATTTCCAGAGAATWGGGTCTGAAGCCCAGAATGCTGCTGGGGAAGGCAGTTTCAGGGTAATGAGGATGTCTGAGATGGAGAGGTCAGATCCAGCTCCAAACCRTGCAACTCCTGCTGTGTATATGGACAGCATCCACTCCACAAGGCAGAAGGTTTCTGACCAGTGTTAAGTGTGGATTGGCACTGAGAAGTCACTAAACAGAGAAAGAAGTCCTGGGCACCAGAAGCCCAGCCTTTGTTGTCAATTAAAACATTCCTAATTGCCCTGCMTGGCACCACCTCACACCAAGGCAGCCTTCAAACATATGGCCAAGCCCACATAAAARAGCTGATCAGTTCTCAACCTAATTAAGCAAACAGAAAACAGGAGCTGGCTGGGTTTAATTGCTGTAATTCTCCCAGGAAATGGGTCCCCCAGCATCCTGCAAACTGCGTGTGTGTGCTCTGGCACGGAGGCTCCAGCAGCTTGGTGCAAATCCTGGCTTAGGGATGCTCAGGAGAGGGAAGGAGTGTGAACAGGTCAGGATGCAGGGAACGACTTGGTTTGTTTGCCCAAACCCACAGTGTTTTGTTTCCAGCAGATTTTGAGGTATTTTTGAAGGTRTATTTTTAATAAAATGCTTTGGTTAGTGAAATAGATGCAGGGCATTTTTCATCTCTTCCATGGCCTGAAATAATTGCAGAGATATTAAAAAAATTTTGGACTTTGCACACCACTTCTGTGGCTGTTTGAGGAGCTAAAGAAACATGCTGGTGTTTACCCCTAGACATTCTGTTTTCTCTGTGTATTATTTCTTCTACCTGATCTGGAAAAGCCCACCCCGCCCTGATCTGCAGCAGATCCTTGTGCTCATACTTGCAGGAGAGCAGGAAAAGCAGGACCAACTGCTGGGAGGAATCCTTGGGATTAAAAGTGCAGGCTGGGATGTGTCAGAGATTTCAGCAGATTTGGGGCCTTTTTGAAACAACTGTGGCTTTTCTTAACATTTCCTAATCTTGGGGCAAAGACCTCAGAAAGGTCCCAGGTGTTCCCAGCATTCATTCCTATTCCCATGTGCTTGGTCAAGCCTTCTCCAGTCTTTCCTGAAAGGGAAATCCTATTTTTTTCCTGTGTTATGCCAAATAACATGTGTGAATTGAATAATGACATTGGGTTTTTTTTTTGCCTTGCAGTCAGTGCGGGTTGACAAGATGGCAAATTTTAAGGGTCACGCACTTCCAGGCAGCTTCTTCCTGCTCTTTGGGCTCTGGTGGTCTGTGAAATACCCACTGCAGTATCTCAGCCAGAAAATAAGYAAGAAATCCCACAGGACTCATTTTTTCCAGCGTGTGGATGCCATTGAAGGGGGAATCAAAATCGTCTTTTCTCTGATAGGTAAGGGTTATACTTCACTTGCTATGCCAGTGAATTCCTAACCTGCAGTGATCACTGCACAGGAGCCCTGACTCCAGAGGATCTGATTTAAATGTGGAATGATCAGAGAATCATTAGGGATGGAAAAGTCCTCTTAGATCATTGAGTGCAACCATTAACCACTGCCAGGTCCACCACTAAACCATGAACCTGAGCATCACATCTAGATGTTTTTGAACTCTTCCAAGTATGGTGATTCCAACACTCCCTGGGCAGCCTGGATGCATCCTTGATGTTCATCTTTTCTTGACCTCTGGTATAGTTTCATGTGGAAAGGCAAATCTCTCCCCCCCTCCCAAAGCTGAGCTGCCGTTAAACACAGGCCTGATTTTTCCATCCAGTCTTTTTTCCCTATGCAATCTCACCAGCTCCTGCTTCACAACCCCCAGCAGCAAGGATAGTCTCAACCACTGCAAAGAAACCCCTGGCAACTCGATGCTCTTTGGTGTCCTGCAGGGATGCTGGCGGAGCAGTTTGTCCCCGATGGTCCCCATTTGTACCTGTACAGCGGGGAGAAGCGTGACTGGGTGAAGCTGATGAACTGGCAGCACACCACCATGTACCTGTTCTATGGCCTCTCTGGGGTGGTGGATGTCCTCACCTACATCTCCCAGCTGGTGCCACGGGGTCTGGACCGCCTCATGTTGGCCGTGGCYGTTTTCGTTGAAGGTTGGTAGAAGGTGGTGCTCAATTCAGGGAGGGATACTGGGGAGTTGGACTGAGTTGGGGAAGGACTAAAAATTGCCCTAAAATTGAGATATTGCTCCAGATGCCTATGGACACATTGTAGGGGATATTTATGGCAGGATGGGCTGGAATGAGATAGGACGGATAAGTTCTGCTTTGGGATTTCTGGGGCTACCACGGTGCAAAGCAGCAGAAGGAAGTTCCTTGTTACAATAAACAGCTGGTGGACTCTGCATTTCTCTGCCATCAATAGGCTGTTTTCCTGCCCCATTCTCTCCTGCCTCCTGAGAGACATTAATTGCACTGCGGGCATCATCAGCCTCATCTGCTTGTGTGGCACGTGGCAATTTGAAATTATTTATTCTTCAGCACATCATAAATATCACTTCGTCCTCAGGCTGCCTTGCAAGTCACCAGCCAGGATTCCAGACCCTCTTGGATCATAGAATCACAGAAAGATTTGGCTTGGAAGGAAGCTTAAATATCATCTAGTTCCAACCCCCTGCCATGGGAAAAGAAGGTCTTGTTTATATAGAAACCTCCTTAATGAAGGCACAGCTCCTGTTACTCTCCCTTTCCTGATCACAGCAGTTTTTGAGGCAGCAGGAGCAGGGGCAGCTCCACATGCAGTTTGGCATGTAAGGAATCTATTATTTACAGCTCCCCAAAAAAAAGGTGAAATTTAGCAAYAAGAAAGAAAGGCACAACAGAAGCTTGGCTACAACAGAAGGTTTATCTGAAGAAGTGATGGCACAGATGGGGGAAGAAAACTCCCCTGTCCTTGGTGCCTGTATTGCTCAGATCCTCCTGTCCCACGGTGCCCCGGGATGCTTCCAGGCTGCTGGGATGCCAGGAGACCTAGGGGATGGTGCTGTGTGGAGGCCCTTCTTTTCATGTTTCATGGTGGCCTGTCTCCATCTGCCATCAGGCAGTGATGGACTCGACTCTGTTGTTGTTAACACTGCTCTAAGCAGGGCTGCTGTTTTGGCAGGTTGTCTCTTCTATTACCACGTCCTTCACCGGCCCATGTTGGATCAGCACATCCACTCCCTGCTGCTCATCAGCATCTTTGCGGGGGCTGGCAGCATCCTGCTGGAGGTTTTCCTGCGTGACAACATTGTCCTGGAAATGTTCCGAGCCAGCGTCACCATCGTCCAGGGAACGTGGTTCTGGCAGGTCAGTTCTGCCCTTCCAGAGCAATGARGCAAAGGGAAAAGAGGAGGAGGAGTTGTACATCACTTATCAATCACACATATCCCAAGGATAATTTTGTCAGGCTCACTTCATAAATAGCTCATAACCYAGAATGAAAATTTACTTATGGCAGGTCATCTCTGATGGCTGCTCCTGCTGCAAGAGCTGTTTGTCTTGGCTTATTRCTTCTCCAGGGGGAAGAGTGAAAGCAAGTGAGCAACGTTTTGCAGTATCTAACGACCAAGTACTGATTGCTTAATGTGTCTAATGCACCCTGCAGCCCTCCCTTTGGTTTAGTGGAAAGACACAAACCCCACCAGCAATAAAACAGCTGAGTTAAAATACAGCCAGCTGCTTGCTTTGGGAGGAGTTGGACAAGCAAAGAAATCAGTTGGAGACAATTGCTCTCAAAACTAAGCTG